CCGGACTGCTTTTGAGTCGACTCAAAAGAGGGGAGAAGGGGGCCCGCCCCTTCTCCGGACTGCTTTTGAGTCGACTCAAAAGAGGAGGAGAAGGGGGCACCGCCTCTGGGACCCCGGACTGCTTTTGAGTCGACTCAAAAGAGGAGGAGAAGGGGGCACCGCCTCTGGGACTCCCGGACTGCTTTTGAGTCGACTCAAAAGAGGAGGAAGGGGGCACCGCCTCTGGGACTCCCGGACTGCTTTTGAAGTCGACTCAAAAGAGGAGGAGGAAGGGGGCTACCGCCCTCTGGGGACTCCACGGACTTTTTGGTTTTTATTTTTTTTTTTTTGTTTTTTGTTTTTTGAGTCGACTGCAAAATGAGAGGATAAGGAGCAGGGGCACCGCCCTCTGGGACTCCCGGACTGCTTTTGAAGTCGACTCAAAAGAGGTAGGAGAAGGGGGGCACCGCCCTTCTGGGACTCCCAGGACACTTGCTTTTGAGTCCGACTCAAAAGAGGAGGAGAAGGGGGGCACCGCCGCTGGGGACTCCCCGGGACTGCTTTTGAGTCGACTTCAAAAAGAGGAGGAGAAGGGGGCCACCTGCCTCTGGGACTCCCGGGACGGCAGCAAGATGAGACCGCCACTTCCTGAACCATGGAGGAAGAAGAGAACTCCACAGCTTGGCAAGAAACGCCTGAGCACAGAAAGAGAACTTTCGAGTGGATCAACTTGTTGGCCGAGGGTCCACGGAGGAGGACACGAGCGGAGGATGTGGTGAATGAGGATGAGGGCTGTGGCACCACCCCATGGGGCTCCCATGACGGCGGCAGGTGATCCGCCGCTCTAAACCGCTCCTTGAGCACACTCTCTGCTGACAGTCTAAGGAGAGCGATGTTTTTTTTTTACAGTCTAGGGAGATCGAAGAGCAGAGAGGAGGGCAGAGGGACAGCCTAGGGAGAGCGAGTAACTCACGACTGGTCGAACTTGTGACCGAGAGTCCAGGAGGATGACACAAGAGGCGGGGTGAGGGAGGAGGAGAGCGGGGCACCCATGGGGCTCCCAGACGGCAGCAGGTGATCCGCCACTCGGAACCGCTCCTTGAGCACACTCTCCGCTGATAAAGCTTGCACTTCCTCTGTGAGGTTGTGCAGCTGAATCTCCTCAATGTACAGCCGTGGGCTGTACCGCCCCTCCATGCCCAACTGCCCTGCAATATCCCGTACTCGCTTCCGGTCCTTGCCCTGGACCTGCAGGGACAGAAGGCAGAGGTGGGACGTGGTGGGAAGGGGTGGGAAGTGGTGGGTGGGTTGTGCAGCTGAATCTCCTCGATGTACAACCGCGGGCTGTACCGCCCCTCCATGCCCCACTGCCCCGCTATCTCCCTGACTCTCTTCCGGTCCTTGCCCTGCACCTGCAGAGGGATGAAGGGACAGAAGGCAGGGGTGGGAAGTGGTGGGAAGTGGTGGGAAGAGGTGGGAAGTGGTGGGAAATGGTGGGAAGTGGAGGGAGCTGAGGATAGTACAGCCGTGGGCTGTACCTCCCCTCCATGCCCAGCTGCGCTGCTATCTCCCTCACTCGCTTGCGGTCCTTGCCCTGGACCTGCACGAATGGAAGGGAGAGAGGGCAGAGGTGGGAAGTGGTGGGGAATGGCGGGGAGCGGTGGGTTGTGCAGCTGAGTCTCCTCGATCTACAGCCGCGGGCTGTACCGCCCCTCCATGCCCAGCTGCGCTGTTATCTCCCTCACTCGCTTGCGGTCCTGCACCTGGTGGTGGGAAGGGAGAGAATGCAGAGGTTTTGAAGAGGGAGGGGGAGGTTGTGCAGCTGAATCCCTTCGATGTTACTTCTGTGATGTGAACACCTGCCACTGCTTCCCTTCCCTCACACCCTCACCCTCTCTCAACGCCCTCTACTCCCGTCTCACCTGCATGAACGTCTTCTTGATCTGCTTGAGGCGGTCCACCTTCACTATCACATGCTGCTTGTCCCATCGCCATCTCGTAGGATGAAAACGCGCGACTCCCTGCGGAGGATGTGCGCCATCTCGTAGTCCAGCGCCATGAGCCCCCCCAGCCCATTACCACTACCAGCCCGTGCCAGAAATTCCTAATCTTGATGCCTAAGCTGCCCCTGCTGCCCCTGCTGCCCTGCTGTCCCCGCTCACCCTGCATGAACGTCTTCTTTATCTGCTCGAGGCGGTCGACTTTCACAACAATGTGCTGCTGCTTGTCCCTGAAAACGCGCGACTCCCTGCGGAGGATGTGCGCCATCTCGTAGCCCAGCGCCATCAGCCCCCCCAGCAGCCGCACACTCACTTCGAAGGTGATGCGCGGGGTTATCACAAAGGGACCGTCTGTGACGCACTCCTGGCGAGGAGGGAGTTGTGGGGGAGGGCGTGTTTGGAGTCAGGGGTAAAGGGGGCAGCACCCGCACACTCCCTTCAAAGGTGATGCGTGGGTTATCACTAAGGGGCCGTCTGTCACACACTCCTGGCGAGGGGTTTGGGTTTGCAGGCCAGAGAGGGAGGGAGGAGGTGGGGAGGGAGGGAGGGAGGGAGGGAGCGAGGGAGGGAGGGAGGGAGGGAGGAGGGGAGGGAGGGAGGGAGGGAGGAGGGAAGGGAGGGAGGGAGGGAGGAGGGGAGGGAGGGAGGGAGGGAGGGAGGAGGGAGGGAGGGAGGGAGGGGAGGGAGGGAGGGAGGGAGGGGAGGGAGGGAGGGAGGGAGGGAGGGAGGGAGGGAGGGAGGGAGGGAGGGAGGGAGGGAGGGAGGGAGGGAGGGAGGAGGTGGGGAGGGAGGGAGGGAGGGAGGGAGGGAGGGAGGGAGGGAGGGAGGGAGGGAGGGAGGGAGGGAGGGAGGGAGGGAGGGAGGGAGGGAGGGAGGAGGGAGGGAGGTGGGGAGGGAGGGAGGGAGGGAGGAGGGAGGGAGGGAGGGAGGAGGGAGGGAGGGAGGGAGGGAGGGAGGGAGGGAGGGAGGGAGGGGAGGGAGGGAGGGAGGGAGGGAGGCAGGGAAGTAGGGAATAGAGCGTTGGAGTATGGGGTTAATGAATGCCGTCTGTCACACACGATTGGTATACCCCTTGAAGGCCCAACGACCACCACCACTTAAAGCACGCTTATCGAACATGAGGAAGTAGCGCCCACCTCTATTGTGCATCCTCGCGTCCTCTTTACAAGCTGCCCTGCTTCTGTACCCTTGGTTGAACGACCTCACACACACTACCACCCAGAGGGCCATAGAACAGAACTGACCTCAAACATGAGGGAGTAGCGCCCGTCTCTGTTGCGCATTCTCAGGTACGACTGGCACGTCTCCTTGTCCTCCCCGGGCGGCAGCAGGTAGATGTCGTACGTCTCCTCGCTCTCCGAGCCTGCCACTGCCTCAGCAGACAGCACGGACCGGATCCGAGCCTCAGCTTCGGCAGGGTCGGATTCGGGTGCCTGAAGAAAAATCAATAACCAGGAGGAGAAGCAATGAAAGGAAAGGGGTTACTTCTCAGCTAGCAGCTAAGCAATGAAAGGGAACAAGGAAAGGAAGCTGAGCTTGAGTAGGAAAGGAGAAAGGTCACAGAATGCTGGGCAATGTGGATAATGAAGGGGGAAGGGGGGGGGACGAACGGGGAAGTGGGGGGACGAACGGTGAAGTGGAGGGACGAACGGAAAAACATAATCCAAGATCACAGGTCACAGTCCTACGCCTCACCACGTCACATCGCATCCCATACCACGCTTCACCCCACCACACACCCCACCACACACCCCACCACACCACACCGCACTGCACCACACGCACCGCACCGCACCACAGTCCACCACGCTGCACCTTGAGAATGTAAGTCGCGTCTTGGAACCCCGAGAACGGGTTGAACTTGTTGACAATCCGTATGTGTGCAGTCTGGAGATCCGGCTCTATGAACGCCTTATACATCGGGTACACCGTCTCAGAAATTTGGTGTATGATCTCCTCTGGCGCCTGCCCCGATCGGTCGATGTCCCGCAGCACTCTCTTAACGAGGTCAAAGTTGTACTCCTCCCGTTATAGACACCCGCAAGTCGAGCAAAGGTCGGAGGCGCTCGCTGAGGTGCGTAGATGCCTTCTATAATCACGATGCGCGACTTGGGGACCTTCAACTTCTCTGCGAGGAAGCAGGGAGGGAGGGAGGGGGAGTGGAGAGGGGTGGAATGGGGTGGAGTGTGGTAGAGTGGTGTGGAGTGTAGTAGAGTGGAATATAGTGGAGTGGGGTGGAGTGAAGTGGAGTGGGGTGGAGTGAAGTGGAGTGGGGTGGAGTGAAGTGGAGTGGGGTGGAGTGAAGTGGAGTGGGGTGGAGTGAAGTGGGGTGGGGTGGAGTGGCGCAGAGTGGAGTGAGTAGGGTGAAGGGAAGTCTTCCAACTTATCTAAAATGGGTCAGAATCGAAGGACATGGAGAGGCGTAGGACGGTACAGGGGCCCCACTTGCATGTTGCTCTGAAAGTCATATACAAGCAGCAGCACCGTGCGACCCTGTCCCAGGGTATCTACCCGCATCTCACACTCACTTGTCGGCACCCATCTCTCAATTCCCCCTCACCGCCACCTTCACACTTCCTCCTCAGCTCAACCCCACTCGCGTGTTGCACCTTGAAGTCATAGATCGGCACCTGCACTGTGCGCCCCTATTCCAGGGAGCCTGATCCCACCTCATACTCACATGCATGCACCTATCTCTCTCTTCTCCTCACCATCACTTACTCCTCACCTGAACCCCACGCGCGTGCTGCACTTGAAGTCATATATCGGCACTTGCACTGTGCGACCCTCCCTCAGCCCCTGCAGGTTGCTCAGCAGCAGCTCGTAATCCGTAATTCGCGGGGTCTGGGGAAAAAAGGTTAGTAGAGGGTGTGACGGGAATAAACCCATGAATTTTGGTGATATTTCAGCCTGGCAGAAGCTCGTAGTCCTTGTTTCACAAGTCTATTTGCAAGAGAAAAGGGCTTGAGGGGGTGGGGGGAAGGAGGAGAGGGGTTGGAATGGAGATCTTGTTGTTGGGGCGAACGACAAACCAGTGAGTATGAATTCAGGTTTATGAATAAGGGGTGGAGGAGAGGCATTGAGAGAGGCAAACCTCGAGAGGACACATTCAGGCAGAGCCTAAGGCATGTCTCGGTTCTCACCATCAAAATTGCCATCAATGACGCGACTGGCCACGTTGTAGTTGTCCATAGATATTACCGTGATGCCAGGCATGAAGTTTAGGACCTGCAGCAGACAATAACGCGTACAGGGAGGAACCCAGGAGGACCATCTTGTGATCAGGCACAAGCAACGATGTCTGGCAATCAAGCAAGGCACACGCTACTCAACAACTCAACCCTCTCTATTGCAATGTCAGGATACATCATACAGCACTGGTGTGTTACTTACATTACATGTACTGAGTCGCACAACAACGGGGTTACATGTATGCGTAGAACGCTGACCTTAACCAAACCAGCAATACACTTGACAAATTTCTTAATCCTTCCGCTTCCTTACCTTGGGAATCCCGTGCACGAGATTTCAGGCCGCAGAATGGCCCGCCAGCCAAGGTAAGGCACTGAAACGTGCACGGGGTTTTCACGGGGTAACCGCGGTTACCTTGAGAATCCCCGAAACGTGCACGGGGTTTCAGGGCGGCAGAATGGCGCGTGGCTATACCTTGGCGCTGAAGACCGTTTTTGCCGGCGCCAGACGGGCCCCGCTAGACCCACCAGGACCATGCCTTCGTTGTTCTGCCACGGTAGGCACGTACGGGCGGGAGATGTGGGCGGGAGGTGCGGGCAAGTGGTATGGGCGGGAGGTATGGGACGAAAGTACGGGAGGTAAGTACGAAAGAAGGTATAGGAAGGAAGTGTGGGAAGGTTGATGTGTGGGGTTTGCGGGAGGTAAGGGAGGGAAGGGAGGTCTACGAAGGCTGACAGGTGAATTTGAAAGGTGCGAGACGAATGCGGACGAGCGGACAGCAGCTATATAGGCGAGGGCAGCGACGGTGTCGGTTGGCGTCAGCGATGAGGTCAGCGATGGTGTCAGCTGTGGAGGTTTCGTCGAAATTCGGCATATCGACAGCAAAGATGGCGAGCCATGTGAAACGGAGTACTCGCAGGTAGAAATTCGAAAACTAGACTAGCCTTTTGAGGCGCCTCAAAAGTACTTGCAGGTTGAAATTCGAAAACTAGACTAGCCTGAAGCGATGATCGGCACACGTCTCTATCAATGCAGTCAGGATGGCATAGGACCCTAACAGCGCTTATCGTTGAGGGGATCCAAGAGCTGACAATAGTGCTGATCGCCGTCGATTGCGCAGATTATTCCGCTTATTGCTGCGCTGAAAGTTGTGCCAATCGCCTAATCGCGTTGTTCGTTGCGCGGATCGCGGCGCCGATTGTTGCGACGATCGTTACTCTGGTCGTTACGCATCATCGTACACCTCCCGAAAGAACTGGAAGGAGCTTCTACGAATCCCTGATCTACTATCACCGTCGATCCTCATCTGCCGATCATCGTCGACAATCAGTATATGACCTCTGTGGAACGGAGCAAATCTGGACTGAATTTTGAGAGATTACCTGAGTTAGCAGCTGCACGGCTCGAATGAACAGAAAGAAGCCCTTCTCGAAGGATAGGGTTTCCGGGATCACCGCGATTTCCTTGCGCTCCTTGCCGTCCGGCGTCTTCCGCGCTACCAGCTGCAGCTGCTGCTTCAGCAGCCGTCCGCGCCGGTGCTGCTCCATGGAGATCGCTCCGCCGCGCGATGGAACCGACTGGCTCTCAACGGCCGTGTCGTAACTCATTCTGTCAGACTGGAAACTCTTTCAGATGTACCGTAAGCGGCACAGATCGAGGTTATCTGTGGCACAAGGCAGTCAGTCGAGTATTAGCTTGGGAAGCTGTACAGAGATTTTACGAACGAAACTCAGGTCAAGATTATCCAGAATGTTATCGAATTCCAGAAACCAAAGCTCGGGACAAGTCTCAGGTAAACGGTCACCAGAATATATTAGCTACAACCGCAGCCATTAGAAAAATTGCTGCTGAGACGCGAGCTCTGGAGTTAGGACTCAGGAACTACGAAAAGTGTCACTCCATGTCCTAGCCATGTCTCTCACCTACCCTGCTGTACCTAGAACCTGGAAGCGCGCCTTCCATTGACCGAACAACCAATGAAACCATTGACGCTGCCGCCCTTCCCACCTTTTCAGCTGCCTCGAGACTGTCGAAGCTTCAACAGACAGGCCAGGATTCAGGCAATGCGTGGCGGTGGATGCTTGTGTGGCTGGTACAGGAGGAAATTTGAGGCTCGCAGGGACCACAATCGGAATTCAAGCCAATTACAGTATTGCTTGATTTGAGGAACCAATCAAACCATTGACGCTGCCGCCAGCCTGACGTAGCGGTATCCACCTTCCGCCACGAAATGCATGTGGCGCACAAGGAAGTTGGGTTCTCGCTCAGGTTGAAGTCGCGGCGCAGGGTAGAATGGGAGCTCATCAGTTGAACTTTGAGCCGCCCGTACTTTCCCCTTTTTCATTGGTAAGGTACAAACTGCTCTAACGGGCATTTGTTTTAGTATCAGAGTATTCTAGGTTCACAACGGAACTCTGTCCAAGGCGCAAGATATGTATTCATTCGAATGATATTAATAGTACAAGGGGTTGAAAACTGGAGAGTACTTTATTCAGTAAAGAGTTACAAGTCAAAACCTAGAGTTGTTGCTAAAGCTAGATCCACTTGAGCTTCCACAGCAGCGCCTCCAGAGCAGCTCGACCGTCTTCTTGACCCCTCTTGGCCGTCAGAGGCAAATGCCCCTGACGTTTCACCCACGCACCACGATGAGGTGGGGGTCATTCGCGTGGGGCCTGTTTGGGAGGTGGGGGAAACGGTCAAATCTAAGGAAAGGGGCAGATGAATAAACACTTCAGACGATTCCCGTTTGTTGTCAGAATGGAGTTTGTCAGGATGACGGCCAGCCATCAAGAGGGAGAGGCGTACCTGGGCATACCTGACACCATACCAGCGCACCTAAACCCAACCCATCGCCCATGTGTGCCTATCAAGTGCCAAGCTAACACGCTCCTATCGATCTGTACCCACCAACACACCTTCAAACCCATCGCCCATGTGTGCCTATCGAGTGCCTAGCACGCTCCTATCGATCTGTACCCACCAACACACCTTCAAACCCACTCACAATATCATGCCGGGGTGCTCTGCTCCCTCCCGCCAAATCTGCGGGGAATGGCGGGACGAGAGGGGGAAATCAGATTCCCGCCTCGCTCCTTGCTCCGCGCTCCAGCTCCTCGCTCCAGCTCTATGCTCCACCTCCGTGCTCCGGCTTCTCCCCACTCCACGCCCCCGATACATGCAGCCTCCCTCCAGACTTCATTTCCTGCAGCACAGACGACGAAAAATAGGAGATAAGTAATTTACGAAACGAAACAGCGCGCCAAAAGCAACGACAGCTTACCACGAAGCTCCGCGCTCCGCCTTCCCGTCTTCTTGGTCTCCCTCCTTCCTCCTGTTGTTGCTTCAAGCTGCTTCCGCTTCACTAAGAGTAACACGAGAAAGCATTAGATATACGGTAAACAAAAACAGCAAAACGGAATCAGAGGATTCTAACCGTGAAAGCGGCTTCTACCGCTGGTGCCGTTTGCCGTTGCTGTGGACGGTCGGTGTAGTCGTTGTCGTCGGATGGGGCAGTGCAGCGGGAGGTGGGCGGAGAGGGAATGGGCTGGGGCTACCCTTCCCCCTCCGCCGCCCCGCTCGCACAACCCCGACGCTTCTTGTCTTGCTTGAGTTCGTGAAACACTGCCCACACATGGCGATGCCACGCGTCACGGCACCAAGGCGGAGAGGAACGGAAATTTGACGAGCAGAAAGGCGACGACGGGACGAACAGCAGAGAGAAGCGCCGCCAAGCGCCGTGCTCAGATGCGCCGCGCTCCGAAGCGCCGCGCTGCGCCGTGCTCCGATGCGCCGCGCTGCGCCGTGCTCCGATGCCCCGCCGCGCGCCCATGAGACGCCCCCGAAGATGCGTCGCCGCGAGCTCCCTCCGACTCCCGCTTCCGCTGCGCTAAGAGAAAGGAACACACAGATAGAGATTAGTTTCATAATCAAGAAAAAAACTTAACGGAATTAGACTGCACTTACCAGGCAAGGGAGAACCTCCCCCCGTTACCTCCTTTGTTCGCCGCCGTCCCCGCGAGTCCCCACTCCCGCTTCCGCTGCGCCAAGAGAAAGGAACACAAAGATAGGAATTAGTATAATAATAAAGGAAGAAACTAAACGGAATTTGACTGCACTTACCAGGCAAGGGAGAACCTCCTTTGTTCGCCGCCGTCCCCGCGAGTCCCCACTCCTGCTTCCGCTGCGCTAAGAGAAAGGAACACAAAGATTTGAATTAGTATCATAATCAAGGAAAAAGCTGAACGGAATTAGACTGCAGTTACCAGGCAAGGGAGAACCTCCTTTGTTCGCCGCCGTCCCCGCGAGTCTCCCGCTTCCGCTGCGCTAAGAGAAAGGAACACACAGATAGGAATTAGTATCATAATCAAGGAAAAAACGTATAAGGAAATTAGACTGCACTTACCATGGCAAGGGAGAAACCTCCCCCCGTTACCTCCATTTCTCGCCGTCCGCGCGAGCTCCCACCCGCGAGCTGCCACCTCCGTTATTCCCGCCGGCTCCTCCTGCGCTGAAGGCAAGAAACATGAAAGCCACCATTAGATTTCGAAGAGGAATCAACTTGACTAAATTCGACGGTACTTACCAGAGAAGAGGAGAGGAAGAGCTAGCTCTTCTTTACCTCCGTTACTCGCTGTAGTTGCTACCGTGTTGCCTGCTGCACTAAGAGGAACACGAAAATAGGCGTTAGATACTCGGTAAAAGAAACAGCAAAACGAAATGAGACAATTCTTACCGTGAAAGCCGCCGGGGTTTTTACCGTTGTAGTCGTTGCTGTAGGAGGTCGTTGACGGGTCGCTGACGGTCGGTGTAGTCGTTGTCGCCGAATGGGGCAGTGGAGCGGGAGGGGGGGCGGAGAGGAACGGGCTGGGGCTACCCTTCCCCCTCCGCCGCCGCCCTGCCCCAACCCCGCTCGCACAACCCCGCAGACTTTGGAGTCTTGCTCTTCTAACTGCTCACACATGGCGAAGCCACACGTCATGGCATCGCGGCAGAGAGGAGACCGACGAAATGGAATGCGAAACCCACGAAACGAAATTCGACCGCGAGACGGAAAAAAATAAATACCGCCAAGAGAGAAGCGCCGTGGAGTCCCGCCTTCGCCCGCGAAACGCGCCTCCGCCCGCGAGACACGCCTCCGCGAAACGCGCTTGGCCCGCGAGACGCGCCTTTCACCCGCGAGACGCGCCTTCGCCCGCGAGACACGCCGTGCGACCGTGAGGCGACGCCCAAGAAGCGTCGCCGTGCCTCGCGCCACGCGTCCATATCCTTGCTTCCTCGCCACGCGTCTCCATGTGTCGCCATCCGTCCTCGGTCAGCCTCTGCAAGTTACCGAGAAGGAGAAAGAAGGAGAAATAAGAACAAACGAAATCGAATAAGAACGAAATCGTCGAGAACAAGGAAGGAGAATTACGAGTAAGGGAGAACAAATCGAAGCCGCCAAAAGAAACGCAGTAAAGGTCTTCAGCACTTTACTCGAAGAGATCCGCTACCGTCGGCGACGGACGAAGTGATGCCAACCGTCGCCGGCCGCTTGCGACGTGACGCCATCGACGGTAGAGTTCACGCGACGCCACGTGTCTTCGTCGCAGAGCAAGCGTTCACACGACCAGAGAAGCACCACCTTCGGTCGCCAAGGCGGTCGCCGAGACAGTCGCCGCGACAGTCGCCGAGACAGTCGCCGAGGTCTGCGGGAAGAAGGAAATATACGTAGATTAGTACTAGGAATGATAAAGAAGAAGACTTGAAAGTAAACTCGAAAGTAATGACAGTTTGAAGTAGGCTTTACTCACCCCGACAATCATCATGTCTCGGAGCATGTAGGCTCGGCGAATGTCGGCTTGGCACACAGGTGCTCTGGCGACGTTAAGCGTCCTCGATGGTAGGCTTCTTCCCCACCTTCGGTCGCCAAAACGGTCGCGCAGGCCTGCAGGAAGAAGGCAGTACATTAGTACAATTAAATATTAAAGGACGAGAACGAAAAGTTGACTTGTAAGTAGACTTTACTCACCCCGACTCCTTGACAAACATCTGTACGCGTCTCGGCGCATGTCGGTCCTCTTGCGGCTTGAGACGGGCCATCGACGGGAAAAGCTTCGTTGAAGGTAGAGTCCTCGTTCACGTGACTGGCGGTCAAGACGGTCTGCAGGGAGAAGACGGAAAGTACACGTTAGTACACGGAAAGGCTAAAGAAAACGAAGACGGAAAGTAAATTTAGAAGTAGAAGGCTTCACTTACCTTAACCTGGACGGCGAGGGACTCGGCGAGCGTCAATGGCGTCAGTGGCATCAGTGGCGTCAATGGCGTCAATGGCGTCAATGGCGTCAGTGGCGTCAATGGCGTCAATGGCGTCAATGGCGTCAATGGCGTCAGTGGTGTCAATGGCGTCAGTGGCGTCAATGGCGTCAGTGGCGTCAATGGCGTCAATGGCGTCAGTGGCGTCAGTGGCGTCAATGGCGTCAGTGGCGTCAATGGCGTCAGTGGCGTCAATGGCGTCAATGGCGTCAATGGCGTCAGTGGCGTCAATGGCGTCAGTGGCGTCAGTGGCGTCAGTGTCGTCAATGGCGCCAGTGGCGTCAATGGCGTCAGTGTCGTCAATGGCGTCAGTGGCGTCAATGGCGTCAGTGTCGTCAACGGCGTCAGCGGCGTCAATGGCGTCATTGTCGTCAATGGCGTCAGTGGCGTCAATGGCGTCATTGTCGTCAATGGCGTCAGTGGCGTCAATGGCGTCAATCGACGGCCGTCGGTCGCCAAGACGATCTGCAGGGAGAAAAGCGTACGCGTTAGTACACGGAAAGGCAAAGAGATAAAAGGAAGACGGAAAGTTAACTTAGAAGTTGGCTTCACTTACCTTAACCTGGACGGCGAGGGACTCGGCGAGCGAGTCGGAGCCCGCGAAAGCTCTCCTCGCGACAAGACCGCAAAGAGCGTGACAGCGTCGGCGAGCGTGACTTGACGGACGGTCGCCAGGAGGTCTGCAGGAAAAAGGCAACAGATTTAGTGCTAGGAAGCGACATAGAAGAAGAACAATTTGGCGCAGTAAGAGATTGAAAAAAGTTGCACTTACCTCCAGCCGGCCGTCTTCGTGTTGGCGTGAACCCGTCTTCGGGTTGCGATGTCGCGGTGGACCCGGTGTTAAAGACGGCTCAAGAGTGAGCGCTTCAAGTCTTCGTGTCGGCGGTTCAAGTCTCGCCAAGACGGTCGCCACGAGGTCTGCGGGATGAACGAAACAGGTTAGTACTTGAACAAAGTTGAACGACATATAATATAATAACTTGTCAAAACGGTTAAAGGGAGACGTCGAGAAAAGATCCACTTACCTCCTCTCGACCGTCTTCATGACGGGGAAGACCGACGTGGTCTGCGTGATGGTGAGACTTGACTTCTCCGAATTGGCGATCTCGCCGTATTGGCGTGATCTTGAATTTGTCGTGAAGAGCTTGCCTTAGCGCCGGCGCTTCAGATCATAACGTCGTCACTTCAAGTCTTAGCGTCGGCGATTGAAATCTCGCGAAGACGGTCGCCAAAAGCTCTGCGGGAAGAAAGAAACGGTTTAGTACATGAACAATGTTGAACGACTTAAGAAATGAACTGGCCAAAGATGGTTACAGGAATAAGTCGAATAAAACTGCACTTACCTCCACTCGGCAGTTTTCTTGCTGGTGGAGAAGACCGCCGGGGAGCGACGGCAAAGGCCGACGTGTGTTTCGTGTTTAAGCGACGGTGAGACTTGTCGTGGCGGCAGCGACGGGGAAGGCCGCGCCAGTCGCAACTTCAGCCAGCGGGGGAGGCTCCATGTGACGCTTGAAGCTCTTGCAGTGAAGATCATGTAGATCTTGCGGTGGAATGTTGCTTTCGTCGATCACTTGTCTTGGCGGCAGCGACGGGGAAAGGCCGCGCCAGCAGCAACTTAACTTCGTCGCGGTGCAGAGATTGCCGCGAGAACCCGGTTTCGTAAATGGTTCAGCTTTAGGCACTTGGCAGCTCGCTCAGACTCGACTCTAACCTACCCAACCCACCCCATCCACGCTATTCTACACGAGACTCTAATCTACGCGACCTCACGCTGCTTCGTGCCAAGGCTTTCCCCATTTACTAGCCGGGTGGGCTCAATAGCTTGAGTTGCTCCGTGGAGTCAACAGTCTAAAGTCCAACAAAAGATCAGTATGTTGAAGCTTGTCTGAGATGACTGCACCAAACAGTCTTAAGTCCAAGGTCAGAATGTTGAAGCAACCGGAACACGAAGGCCATAATAGAGACTACAAGATTTTGATGGCCGAGGTGGGGTGATCGAGTAGCTTGTGAGGAGGAACAGCGTTCTTCGGAAGCTGAAGCATGGTGCCGCTGATCGTTGAGTGGATGGAATTGAATTCAGCACAAGAGAGTCTGTTGGGTAGCGGCCACCGCGACGCGGAAGGGCGCGGCTCCAACCCAAATGTGATGGGTCAACGCCGTAAAGCGGCTGAAAGTAATCCCTGTCAGAGCGGGTCAAACCTACAGTGGCGAATTCAAAAATCCCCGCCTACGAAGTGGCTTTGACGGAATCTTCCGAACCGCATGGTCTGGCAACTTAGAGGCGGACCAAAAAAATTGAGCCGAACCTCCAACCAAACCTCGCTGTACATCTCTTTCACAAAGTGGTTGATTTTGTAATTTTGTGTGTGTCGCTCTTTCTGCAAACGAATCTGCTGAGGGCGCGTATCGTTGTGGGCATCGAAGTATGGGCTAGGGCAGGCTTGAACTTTGTAGGAGGTGGTGGACGTGGCGCTGCTTTAAATATCAAATTTCAAGAATTTGCGTGAGTTTTCCGTAAGGTGCGGGACGGCGGAGGGATGGTAAGGGAAGTCCTGCGTGGCAGGAAAAGTTTAGGCTGTTTTCGCAACTTATTTTGCCCCTCCGAACCTGACTTGGGCAGCTAAAAATACAAAGGACATCCGAAGGGGATTTCTCTAGCCAATAGGAATGAAGGGTGTTTCCTCGGCAGCACCGAATGTCCCTCACCCTGACACAATCACCACGACGTTGCATCAAGCAAGTCACAATCCCTTCCCCTAGCAAGTAGTTGCTCGTCATTATCCAGTTCTAATAGCTAGTTTTGTCAGATCAAGGCAGTGAGCATTAGTGCTCCCATCAGCGAGCATTACCTACCGTACATCTTGTTACCGTCACTCACTAAGTCTCGCCTAATTAGAGGCAAAATAGTAGGCTATTAGAATATGGAGCCTCTGATTTTGTTCTCGGTAGCTTCAAGTTAGATCTCAGCACCGTAGCTAGTTTCGATGGAGCATTCTGTCGTAATGCAGTATTCTCCGCTCTAAACGTCTAGTGCGGTAACTACTGCGAAATTTTTAGAAGTTACTGTTATTTGCTCTTTCCAGATTTGCGTGGTGGTAAGATCCGGCATTTTTTGTTGGTCATGTACGGTATTTGCGTCGATTTGCGGCCACATTTGAAACTAATATTTTTCGGGCTATTTTGAGTCGAATATAAAAAACGTGCGGAGAAAACTGTAACGTTTATTCAGGGAGACATATCACGCAAACGCATGATACGGACCGTTGCGCAAGACACTGGAAAAAGGGATGTCGGGAGGGAGATGAGGGGTAAGTGAGAGGAGGGAGGGGGAATGGGCGGGCGGAAGTCCGTATTGGAGCGCGTAAGGGGAATCAGAAAGGAGAGGACTGGCAAGAGTGGCCTATTCTTCCTGATTTTCCCCTTTCCTTCCCTGCGCTTTCCTCCTCTCCCTCCCCCCCCCCCCCCCCACCCCCCCCCCACCCTCTTCCCCTGGCCTTGCCTAGAAGCGTCACAAATCCCCACTTCTCCCTTTGTGCCCCTCAAGCTCTCTCCTCATTTCCCCGCTCTCCCCTCGCCTCCCCCGCTTTCTCCTCCTCTCTCCCGCTTCCTCTTCCTCTCCCCCGCTCTCCCTTCATCTCCCCCGCTCTCCCCTCATCTCCACCGAAATCCTCTCCTCTCCCCCTATTCCTCCCCCCCCCCCCCCCCCCTCTCCCTGCACTTCGAGGCGCGCACTTGCTCCCCCCATTTTGCAACCCCCTCTCAACCCCCTCCATCTCCCCTCCGCCACCCCTCTTTCCAGGCCTCTCCCACCCTCTTCCTCCCACCCTTCATCTCCCTCCCCCTTCTCCCCTCCCCTCCTCCCCGCCCCCACCCCTCATCTCCTTCACCCACCTCCCCCCTTACCTCGTCCTTACCACCCCTCATTCCCCCCCGCCCTCCCCTTTCTTTTCCCACACTCAACCCTCCCCACCCATGCACGCCCCATTAGCATCCCCTTCCATCCCTGCTCCCTCTCTTCCCTTTTTGAGGCTCCTCAAAATTTTCCCCCCCACTCAACTATCATCTGACCCCACCCATCCACTCCCTGTTTGCATCCCCCATCCATCTCTGCACCCCCCTCTTGTTCCCCATTATGCATAACCGGCAGTTCGTTAAAGCTCTTCCCCACTTCCCTCCACGCCCTCACAACCACTCCCCCAACTCCCCTCTTCCCTCAACCTCTCATCTTCCCTCTCTCCCCCTTTCCCACCCTGCTGCTACTTGCCTTCCCTCCATCTCTCTAGGTACTTGCCTTTGCTACTTATCGTTGCTACTTGCAACTGCTGTCAAGTCAGTGAATTCTTTTCCTCTTGTGTCTGCTTGCTTACGCCCGACTCCTCGGCTTCTCTCTATGTGGCTGCTTGCCATTGCAGCTTGGCACTTGACTTCTCAGCTGCTCTATGTGCCTGATCTGGCAGTCACTCAGCTCCTGTGTGTAATGCTGAGTTGAGTATGCTATGATTTAAAACTGCTGTCTTTAGTACACAATCTGCTTGTACAAAGCAGCTTACAAACCAGGCATCCTGGGTAGCTGGAGGTGATCTTATGACTGAAATTGTGGTAGATATGGAAGTTTCAAATCCCTCTTCCGGTAGCACAGATTCAGAAAGATTGTTTGACAAACTATTAGATTAGCGTGCATAAAATGGTTGTGCAGATTAATGGTCACAAGTGACTTGGGATGTGTTTTGATTTGTATCATCTCATCAAGACATTCATGACACATCCTGAGTGAAACAACAGTAATAAAGAACTAATCAGTCAAAAAGGTACACACGAAGTGCTGCAAAGTGCAAACCCAGGCAGCAGACTAAACTCTACTGCTTGATCCATTCCCGAATCCCCACATCCCTGTGCATTCCTAAGCTCATTTGCTACACTCATTTCGAATCAGTGAAGTCGGCATCGATCACGTCATTGGGGTTGCCGCCAGCAGCACCGCCGGGTGTGGGACCGGCACCAGCACCAGGAGCAGCACCATCAGCACCGGGAGCACCTCCTTGAGAGTACACGGCTTGACCAAGCTTCATGACCTCCTGGTTGAGGTCGTTCATCTTGTCCTTGATCGCCTGAATGTTATCCCCGCCCGCCACAGCCTTCAGATCCGCCACCTTCGCCTCAACGCCCGCCTTCACGTCCGCAGGAACCTTCTCCGCAAGCTCCTTGAGCTGCTTCTCCGTCTGGTAGATCATGGAATCAGCCTGGTTCTTCACATCCACAGCCTCTCTCTTCTCCTTATCCTCCGCTGCATATTTCTCCGCCTCCTCAACCATCTTAGACACCTCGTCCTTGGGAAGGGTAGAAGCGCCCGTGATGGTGATATCCTGCTTCTTGCCTGTGCCCTTGTCCGAAGCTTGCACTGACAGGATGCCATTCGCGTCAATGTCAAACCGGACCTCGATTTGAGGGATCCCGCGGGGAGCGGGAGGAATGCCATCCAATCGGAAGCTTCCGAGGGACTTGTTATCTCGGACAAACTCACGCTCGCCCTGAAGGACATTAATCTCCACGCTGGTCTGCCCATCTGCCGCGGTCGAAAACACCTCGGATTTCGACGTGGGGAGAGTCGTGTTCCTGGGGATAATCTTGGTCATTACCCCTCCGAGCGTCTCCAAGCCGAGCGACAGTGGGGTCACGTCCAGCAGCACAATATCCGACACTTCACCTGCCAGCACTCCGGCTTGAACAGCAGCGCCGAGAGCAACCACCTCGTCGGGGTTGACAGACACGTTGGGGTCCTTTCCTGTGAGCTTCTTCACGAGCTCTTGCACCGCAGGAATGCGGGTGGAACCACCGACCAGGATGACCTCCTGCAGGTCGGAGTAGGACAGCTTGGCGTCGCGGAGGGCGTTCTCCACGGGGGTCTTGCACCTGGGGGAAGGAAGAGAGAGCACAAGGGGATTGCACAGTGTAAACAATTATTTAAGGGTTGAGGAGTGTTACTGGGTGATTGTGACCAGGAGATGTTGAATTATTGCATGAGGCAAAAGCTGAACGTTTCAAGAACTAATTTGGTGTTGAAATGTTGAGTGCCCATTGGGTAAGAGTAATATGACGTTTCCATTCTAACAACTCAAATCCAGACGTTTCGTGCTCACCTGTCGAGCAGGTCGGAGCAGAGCTCCTCGAACTTGGCGCGCGTGAGGTTCGTGTCGATGTGCTTGGGGCCGTCCGCAGTCGCCGTGATGAACGGCAGGCTGAACGGAGGTAGGGGATTGAGGGAGCGAACGGAGAGAGGGCAAGACATGAGCATGAGAGCAGTGGATTGGTCGTAAATGTGGCTAGGTTTGTGTGTGAAATTTGGGAATTTCTGCTTTCGAATCACGTGAGCGTAACATTCTCCGCTAAAATGTCAAACATTCCAGCTGCTGTGAAAAGCTTCCACACTCCGATCCCAAACCCTAACGGTTCATCCCTGCGTCCTCCACAATCGGTAAATATAACCTCCAAACACATCACGCGGGAAGAAACCCTACCTGATGGACGTCTGGGTAAGCGTGGAGAGCTCCATCTTGGCCTTCTCCGCAGCCTCGGTGAGTCGCTGCAGCGCCTGCTTGTCCTTGGTGAGGTCCACGCCCTCGTCGCGCTTGAAGGCGTCCGCCAGCCAGTCCACGATGCGCTTGTCGAAGTCGTCTCCTCCCAGGTGCGTGTCGCCGGAGGTCGACAGCACCTCGAACACGCCGTCACCCACCTCCAGGACTGAGGGGGGGAGCACGGGCAAGGGTGAATGAAGAGAAGTTGTGCGCAAGTTAAAGCGAAAAAAAGCAGAGAAATAAAGGAAAACAAGAGGGCGGCGAGTGGATGGAAGAAGAAATGCTAATGGGAATATTTGCAAACGGGTACGTGTTTGAAGCAGTCTCAAAACACTACTTCAACCGAGTGGCTGGAGGAAGAAAGGAATATGGGAAAATTCGCTAACAGCTTCGGAAGAGACCGGATTCATAAAAGCGAGTCATTATTTCAAGTGTGACTTACCAGACACGTCGAATGTTCCGCCTCCGAGGTCGAAAACGAGGATCGTCTCGTTGCTCTTCTTGTCGAATCCGTAAGCAAGCGACGCGGCGGTAGGCTCGTTGATGATGCGAAGCACGTCGATGCCGGCGATGCGGCCCGCGTCCTTGGTCGCCGTCCTCTGGCTGTCGTTGAAGTACGCAGGCACAGTTACCACCGCCTTCGTCACCTTGTCATTGAGGAACTTCGCCGCGTCGTCGACCAGCTTGCGCAGCACCTGCGCGGAGATTTCCTCTGCGGCGAATTGCTTCCCAATGGCCGGACACTCGAGCTTCACATTCCCGTTCGAGTCGCGGATCACGTGGTACGACACCTGCTTCGACTCGTCCTTAACCTCGTCCATCTTACGCCCGATAAACCTCTTCACGGAGAAAAAGGTGTTCTCGGGATTCACGACGGCCTGACGCTTGGCGATCTGTCCGACAAGCCTGTCGCCGTTCTTCGTGTATGCGACGACGGACGGCGTCGTGCGCTGGCCCTCGGCGTTGGTGACGATAGTCGGCTTGCCTCCCTCCATGGCTGCGACCGCCGAGTTGGTGGTCCCGAGATCGATTCCGACCACCTTCTCGCAAACCACATAGAGGCGTCCATCGGACTTGGATCCAGCAGCCTTGCACCTGGAGAGAACTCAAACATTGCAGAGCAAGAAGAGGTCAAGGTCAGCGAAAGGAACCATAGTAACGAAATCGAAGGCCGGAAGCCAGAACACTTAGAGATCCACAACTTCATCTTCCTCGTGACCAGAAGCTACTGATGGGGTGATTGATACAACAGATTTTATCAGCGTCGGGTTTGCTAGCTGTTGAATAAACCCTAGCAAAGTGGCGTACCGAAGTTAAACAGTTAGATTTCCGTTCGTTGGCAAAAGCGGGAAGAGCTTACCTGGCGGCCTTCTTGGCAATGGCAGCCTTGAGCGAGATGGATCCTGAGAAGAAGTTGGCGTTGCGAACGCCAGTGGCCTTCTGAGCAGGCCCTGAGACGCGAAGGCCATTCAGGCCCTGCGCGGCCGCATGAACGGACTGTGAAACGGCAGCCATTGTTCTTTGACGAAGGAAGAACGTCGAGTGTGCTGTGAAGTGAATCGTCAAAGCAGGCTCAGGCAGGCGATTCCGAAGCTCTAAGTGACACAGAGCTCGCTAGTCCGTGCGGGAAATGGACCCAAGAATCCGGGATCAGAGACTGAGGTTAGGAGAAATGGACGGAGATTTCAAGGTCTGTGAGATTGGGTTAGTATTGAAGGCACGAGGGGAGAGTTCTGTGAAGTGAAGGTCAGCAGAAGCAGCTAGAAGTAGCAGAAACTGACGGTCACAGGTCGCCAACAATTCGCCAATTCGCCAGGAGCAAATTTCACAGGTTGTTACTGGTTTGTAAGCAAGGGACTGCGATCGTCAGAGCGTTGCGTAAGGGAGTTGCCAAATGCGCCGGTAACAGTCGTCAAAATGTTGTATGATGTGCCAAAGGCTGCTGAGCTTGCTAATATAGTGGCACCACACGTGGCGTCCAGAAGTGTCCCTCTTCCACGTGGATTACGGAATGAGTGCCGCGTCATTAGCGGCGCGGTTCAGTTTGCTTCCGTGGTTTCGGGTAGTCACCAGAAGCTCATCCTGCTCGTCACCGTTGGCGTGAAGTGGAAGGAAGCGTTGACGGTGGCGATTGCGTGGGCCCAGAGCCAGTTCGAGGTTCATCGCGAATGACTTGTTTTCGGAAGAGCCCTCGCGACGCTTCTGGAAAACTCGATTACAAGTTTAAACAAGGTTATGATAGAGAGAGCAAAAAGCATGTAGCAAACAAAAACTAGAAAACACAGTTTGCGTGAGACAACCATTAGAATGAAAAAAGGTTCTAGAATGTACACATGTAAGAGGAATCATATGCTATATAGTAAATATTGTTAAATTTTCTTACTATTTTTTACATTGTTTACCAGGCTCTAGAGCACAGCATACACACAATATATATCTTATATTAGTTATGAGTGATTGGAAACGTCCGTGGAATATAGTGGGGTAAGATAAATAGTGGACGAAGCAGCTCTGTTGTGAGGTTTGTCTTCGCCAACAACCCTGACCCGACGCAACTCCGTCCAAGCACTGTCGAAATTTCTCACATAACATATCTGGTTCCCCATGGTCCGTGTGTGTCTGTGGAGACGCTGACCCACCTGCCCAACCAACCATGCCCTCCATCCCGCCCATGGGATACCAACACCCCAACACCCCCTCACATGTTCTCCATAAACGGGCGTTCGTAGTAAAGGGCGTCTACTCAGGAGATCGTTTCGATCCTGAGTCAACTGGGATCCGCATTCTGGCCGCAACAGATCATCTGGCACCTTGAGGACGCGTCACCTCTTTCGATTCTGCATGATCGAACCTCAACAACCGATCTTCCACCGCACTCCAAACCTGTTTGCTACATTCAGTAGCTTTGAACCGTTTAAAAATACGTAAACAATTTTTTTTGGTGGATATAAGTACACTGCCAGCATACATACATCCGCGGTCGTAACTGTTGCTAGGAGGGCATGGAGAGGCTACAAGTACCCAAGTAACCAGAGCCCCCCTTATCCTTTTACGGAGGTTGGAATGCTACATCACCATCTTCCCAGATCGCCTTAAAACCCGTTCTCCACGTCATCGAGGCCTCTGTCTCATAGAGCCTGCGCATAGCGCCTGCTTCGTCAGCATTCAGGTGGCTCCAGTCACCCGTGCTTTTCGAAGCATTCCTGCGAGCCATTTTCTTCCGCGCTCTGCTGTAGATCTTCACGTGCCTCGTGAAGCCAACTGCTATGCGCCTCAAAGCTCTCTTTGGTTGGAACTGGCTACCTCGGAAAACCGCGTTGCACCTCTCCAGCCAAACTTGGTGCGCTGTAATGGATATGATTGCCGCCTCAGGGAAACCAGTCGACGTGCCACTCCTTTGGAAGAGCATGTCCCTGCCCGGATTCATACACTGAACCGCTTTCCTCATCACCTCCACCACAGGTTGGATCGCCGGGCAGCAGAAAAGGCACTGATCCTGCGATTCCACTCCACCACAGTGCGTGCATTTCGCCCTCGCGCCCAAGAAGGGGAGCCGTTCTCCTACTTGGAGGTTGTGACTATGCACCCTTAGTATCACTTCCCGTGCCCTGCATGGGGTTGCCAGTGAGTCACGGACCGTGATAGCCTTCCCCCAGCCGATCTTCCTCCCCAACTCCTCTTCCCACTTCAGCTGTTGTTTCGGTTGCGCCACCGAGGGTTTCATCGCCTTCCTCAGCTTCTTTAGATCAGCCCGCTCGCCTTTCTCACAGATTGTGGAGTAGAGCAGTCGCGTTCTTGGAGCGCCGAGTAAGCCGCGGGCCCTCCCATCTATGACTGCCATGGGTGAAGCGCGTCAAAATTCCACCGTTACCACGCAAGCGTATTCCACCTCGCCTATGTTCCCTTTCTTGTCCACCGTCACTCTCCGACCATAAACTTCGCCGTTGCTCACATATTGCAGCTGGTAGTAAAAGAACTCTCCTGGGCGGTAAGACGCAGAGCGGACCAGCCTCGTTTCCCTGAAAAGTTCCTCCGCCGACAGTTGTTTGAGTACCAGATCCTTCCATCCCTGTGGTGTCGCATCCCACGCCTTCAGGGCCCATTTCCTCTGCTCCACACCTCCCAGTTCCCTCTCCAGAACCTCATCGCTCTTACGAGATCTGCTGCCATCTCCTCCTTTCGCCACCAAGTCCCCCAGTCGGACGCCCTTCAGGCAAAGCGAGCCCGCCTGGTTTCCTAAAGGTGATCTGCCTCTGAAGAAAATACTGCGATTGAAAAGTAACTGCTCCTCCTCTGCGTCCCACCTGTGTGCCGAATCACCTATGGTGACCAGTTTTGAGTCCCACAGCGCTTTAATAGTGGCTTTCCATCTCATGCCTCCCCCCAGCCAGGACTTCAGGACCGAATGATGCGCGTAGATCATGGCCAAGCCGAGGGGAAAAGCCGCCGCCCTCTCCCTTAACCAGTTCCGAAGTGGCTCCTGCTCCGCCAGGGCCTTCCCCAGTCCTTGGATCACCATGGTGTCAATTCGGTGCTTCAGATCAATCACACCCAGGCCCCCCTCTTTCCGTCCTCTGCACGACAGTTCGTAGCTCCATAGCGTGAAGTGTCTGTCGAGGAGCGCTTTCCCTCCCGAGATGAAATTATGACATAGCCTCTTCACTTTGGTCCAGACCTCGTACGGTGGGGCGTAAATCTGCGCCTAGAAGAGCAGGATCGGCATCGCGTAGCTGTTTATGATTGTAACCCGTGTCGAGGTTTTGAGATGTTTAGTCTCCCAGCAGCTCAGCACCGCGCTAACTTTTTCGAAAGCCTTGTCCCATGCAGGTCCCGGCGAGCCTCCAGAGGTGATCCAGATTCCGAGCAACCTTTCAGACGTGTTCTTCTCCGCCCACTTGAGAGACGACGCTATCGGCTGCAGCCTCCTTTGATTTTTTCCCAGCGGCATCAGTGTGGTCTTATCACGATTCACCTTCAACCTTGAGATCTCCGCGAACTCCCCCAGCAGTTTCTCAGCAACCTCCACCTGTTCTTTGCCCTTCAGGACCAGTGTCGTGTCGTTTGCGTATCAAATGTAGTCTAAACTCCCTTTCATACCCCTCTTCCTGACCCCCAGTTTCCTCCGTTCTATTTCTTGGCAGAGTGGCTCAACCGCGCAGAGGAAGAGATACGGGGCGAGCGGGCAGCCCTGACGTACCCCTTTGGCCATCACCACCCGTTCCCCTATCCAGCCGTTCAACAGCACCTTGGTTGCCGCTCCATCGTGAAGACCCTTCACCCATCTTGTGAACTTCCCCGGAAAGCCCATGTTGCCCAGCGTCGTGAAGAGGTATTCCCGTGATACCGAATCGTAAGCTTTATGAAAATCAACCAACAACAGCAGCCAGTCCTCGTCCTCCTGCTCCGCAGCGTCGATCGCATCTGCTACCAGAGAGACAGCATCAGCGAGACTCCTCCCCGGAAGAAAGCCGAACTGGTTGCTGGAGATCACTCTCGGTAAGACCACCTTGATTCTATTCGCCAAAACCTTCGCCAGTAATTTGTAGAAGAAACTCAGTAATGTAATCGGCCGGTAATTTCCCAAATCGTCCCTGTCTCCTTTTTTGTGCAGAAGGATCGTAACCGCCGTCGTGAAAGACTCCGAAAGCACACCCGCTGATTCGAAAGTCCTAACTTCCCTCATCACCGCCGGGCCCAACAGCTCCCAATTTCTTTCGAAAAATTCTTTCGGCAAGCCGTCCTGCCCCGGGGCCTTCCCCGCCGGTAAGCCTTTAAGCGCCGGCTTCACCTCCTGCTCTGACCATTCGCTGTCCAGCTGTAAGCGATCACTCTCCTGCAGCGCCTTTCCCTCTTCAATCGGCCACGGCTCCACGGGAGAGGACAGCGGCGACAGCGCGTAGGCCTCTCGGAAATGCTCCGAGGCCGCTTGCAGCACCTCGCTTGCTCCCTTCCTCAACACCCCTTTGAAAGTGAGTTCCGCTATTTTGGTTTTCGCCTTTCTGGACTTGACCAAGCCTGACAGGGTGCCTGATGGAGACTCACCCACCAGCTCTTGCAGCAACCCCTTCAGAACTTGCAGCCGCTCCTTGTTGCTGTCCTGGTAAAGTTTGAGAGCCGCTTCGTTTTTTATCAGATCCTCGTACAGAGCCTGCGACGAAGGGTCTGACATCACCTTCCATCTGAGCTCTTCCACCTTCAACTCCAAGTCCACCATGGTCACCTTAACCCTTTTCCTCTCCTCTGCTACATGAGCTCTCATGCTTGCAGGCAGATTCGTCACCAGTCTCTCCGGGCCCTGGTCCGGACAATTCGCCTGTGAGTCCAATATCGCCGATATGATGTTCCTGACGCCTTCGCCCCCAGCATGAGGTGCCTGAAGCCTCCACAGCCCTGGACCATGGTCATCTGCCGATGCAGCCTTGAGCGACACCGACACCGCAAACCAGTGATATGTTAATCCGTATGGGACCATTCTGTGCTTCGCCTCCGTTACGCACTTGAGAAGAGAGTGTGACACTAAAGCCCTGTCAATCCGTGTGCTTGTTTTTGCAGATCTCGAGAAGAATGTGTACTCCTTCCTGGTCGAGTGGAGGCTCCGGAAAGCATCTTGCAGATCCCATCTCGAACAAATCTGCAGGAGTCTCTGGTTTTCCGCCGGTGTTCCCAGCTTTGAGGATTTGTCAAGCTCTGGATCCGCAACGATGTTAAGGTCGCCAAAAAGTATGGTATACGGAGAGGCGCCCAAGCTCTACACAAAGGGCGTTAGTACATCACAAAAGAAGACCCCCCTAGCGGGTGCTTGTGCAGGTAAATATACAGCCGCCACTCTGCAGGTCAGATCGCGCCATGCTATCATCAAACTTATGAGACGGCCGGACTCATGCTTAACCACATCTGTGAACCGCATGCCTGGCAGGAAACCCAAGACCGCCACCCCCCCGGCTCTCTGTGACGCGCCAACCACCGCCTGAGCTTCCGCCCCGACTTGCGTCCAGAAGTTATGATCCTGTGAAACTCGTGTGTCGGTGAGTACAACTATGTGCGCTGCCTTTCTGATCCACTTTCCGCACCTCTCTTGTTTCCCGCAGCTACCGAGCCCGTTGATGTTGAGCTCGAGAAAAGTTAAGCTATTGCGTTTATCCATTAACCACTTTCCTTGAGCCCCACAGCATCCGCGGGCGGTTGATCTTGCACATACGTAAACATTCGATCCTGCACAGGATCGGTCGTCCAGAACCGAAAGAGGTGACGCCTCCTGATTCTGGGCGGAATGTTCAGCGTCCTTCGACACCAACTACGTACCCCACACGAAACTTTGCTGAGCGGAGAGTAGGAAAAAGGGAAAACATGTCAATGGTAACTTACATGGGGCACTATAGCGCGTACGGTAACGATTTCAACGCGTTTGGTAACTCGCTTAACGCATTTGGTAACTCGTTTAACACGTTTGGTAACTCGCTTAACGCGTATGGTAACTATACACTAGCAGCCCATCACGCGAATGGTAACTAGAAGAAACCCTCGCCCAAAATGACCCTGATTCTGGTTTTTCCCGCTCGCGTCAGACTTAATTGACGAATCTTGAAGCAGAAACCTCTAACACACTCTCCGAGATTCTGACACATTTTTCCGAAATTCTGACACACTTCCCGAAATCCTGACACACTTTCCGATTTCCAAGCAAATTGCAAAAACGTAAGTGTTTCAAAGACAAATATTTATACATAACTGATATTCTTGCACTCTTTCCGCAAAATGTTTGTACTAAATTCTATCGTGCATCCGGGGCAAACAAATCTATACCCCTTCAGATGGCAAATGAATTTGAGAGCATCAACCATAAACTCCTTGCGACAAGTTGTTTATGGTTCTTTTCTTTCATGAAACATGTAATTCTAAAGAGGCGTATCTTTTTCACATGCAAAAAAATGGCCAACGTTGCAGTAATTACAAAAGTAAAAGCCCCGAGGTCCTTTCGCGAAATGTAACCTTTTTTTATTTTGCAAGTTCACAATCATGCTATCAAGAATATGATTTTAACCATTTTTGTTTGAGCTATATATGTGAAGAAATGAGGAAGTAGTGAATGAACTAGCAAGCAGGTGGGTACAATAGGAAAACCTAATAGTGTTGTACCCTATATTGTCTACCCCACTACAACCTACACAAACTATAGCATATGAGTTTGACACACCCCCATAGGCAAAGTGGGGAAGAACAAGAGGTCACAAGACCACTCAAGCAAAGCAAAGCAAGCTCAGGGTGGATCACAATGTCACCACACAGTCCGAGCACAAGAGCAAGGCCAAAAGGCCAGTTTATATGCAAGATCATATATAAAGGTAAACAAGCAAGTGCAGGTATAGAAAGATCACAGTACAAGCAAGGTCAAGAAGTGAGCAAGTGAGGCAAAGTAAGCACAAGACCTAGCATCGTACAGAAGCGCTGATGATCACAAGGCGGAAGTGCCTTGGTAAAGATATCAGCAGTGTTGGCCTCAGAGGCCACGTAAGCAAGGCGCAGCTGACCACGCTGCTGCAGCTCACGAGCAAGGAAGTAGCGAAGAGCAATGTGCTTAGTTCTGTGCTCCAGTCTGTGCTCCCGACACAAGTGTCAGAACATATAGCTTGTGCTTATTGTGTAGGCTATAGTGGGGTAGCCCATAAGGGGTACAACCCAATTAGGGTTAGTACTTGTACTCAGTTCATTCATAGTTAATTCATTCTCGTTTCTTCTCATGGTTTCAGAGCAGGTTCCCTAATGGGAACGCTACCTAGGGCCCACCACGATTTTTTTTTTCTTGCCCGGAGCGCGCCTTAGACTAGACCGAGTCGTGCGCGCCCCGTGTGCCCTCCCTACCGTCGCGCCGCCCTTTGTGGCCCCTTGCGCTGCCTGTCGACCCCACGCGACGACCTAGCGGCCCCTCCTTGCGCCACCCGTCGACCCCGCGCGCCGCCTTAGCGGCTCCCTGCGCCGCCCGTCGACCCCGCGCGCCGCCCTAGTGGCACCTTACGCCACCCGTCGACCCCGCGCGCCGCCCTTTCGGCCTCGCCGCCCTTACCTGCGGCCCCGCCGCCCTCACCTGCGGTCCCCGCCACCCTTACCTACGGTCCCCGCCGCCCTCAACTGCGGCCTTGCCGCCCTTACCTGCGGCCTCACCGCCCTCGCTTGCGGTCCCCGCCGCCCTCAACTGCGGCCTCGCCGCCCTTACCTGCGGCCTCACCGCCCTCACCTGCGGTCCCCGCCGCCCTCAACTGCGGTCCCCGCCGCCCTCAACTGCGGCCTCGCCCCCCCCTTACCTGCGGCCCAGCCGCCTTCCCTGCGGCCCCGTCACCTGCTGCAGCACCGCCCGCCACCTGAGCCGCCCGGGCCGCCTCACCTCGCCGAGCAGCCGACCGCCGCGCCGCCCTGCAGCAGCACGGCCGAGCCGCCCAGCATCTGAGCAGCCAAGCAACCGAGCCGCCCAGCAACCAAGCAGCCGAGCCGCCCTGCAGCCGAGCCGCCCAGCAGCCGAGCCGCCCTGCAGCCGAGCCGCCCAGCAGCCGAGCCGCCCTGCAGCCGAGCCGCCGAGCCGCCCTACCTCCGAGCCGCCCGAGCAGGCCCGCCCGGTGAGCACAGTGCCTCTTTTCCTGCACTGCCCTCACCCTACTGTTGCACTGCTAGTCTACTGTGGTCATGGCTACCCCTAGTGTCCTCGCTTTTGACGCTGAGGGTCGAGCCATTGACTTTGACGTCTGGGTAGATGACCTGCAACTGTTTTTACAGTGTGATAGGGCAGACGGTCTCTCACTCTTTGACCTCACCTCTGGCGCCTCTCCTGCCCCTGCTACTGATGCCGACGCCACTGTTCGCTCCTAGTGGGCCACGCGCGACGCTGCTGCACGTCTTGCTGTGCGTCGCCACCTCCCTACCTCCGAGCGTGCGCACTTTAGTCAGTACAAGAGTGCTCAGACCTTGTACGACGCTGTAGTTGCGCGCTACTCCTCCCCTGCCACTACTGCACTGAGCCGTCTCATGCTACCGTACCTCTTCCCTGACCTTGCTGCCTTTCCCACAGTCGCTGACCTCATTACGCACCTCCGCACTAGTGAGACTCGCTACCGCGCTGCGCTTCCTGCTGACTTCTGCGCCCAGAACCCCCCCCCCATGAACATCACTCTCTACTACATAGTCACTCACCTCCCTGACTCCCTTCGCGTAGTCAAAGACCACTTCCTCTTAGTCTGTCCCACCACTCTCACTGTTGACCTCCTCGAGAAGTCCCTCCTAGCGGCCGAGAAGAGCATAGTCGCTGTAGGGGCCTCTCGTGGTGACCCGCGCACCCCCATCTTTGAGGGGTGTTCCCCCTCCCCCCTTCTACCCTCTGTTGCCTCTGCTGCTGCGGCCGACCTCCTTGGTCTTGAGTCGGTCGGTGCGGCGTCTGCCCCTAGCGGGAGACGCCGCTCTGGCCAGGGCAAGGGGGGCAGGGGCACTGGAGGGGCGAGCGGGGGCGGTGGAGGTGGAGGTGGAGGCGGCGGGGGGAGTGGGGGTGGCGGTGGGAGTGGTGGTGGGGGTGGAGGTGTCGGTGGCGGCAGTGGAGGCGGAGGCGGCGGCGGCGGTGGCGGTTGGAGCGGAGGTGGCGGAGGTGGCGGCGGTGGAGGAGGCGGCGGAGGCAGCGGTAGTAGCGGAGGCGGCGGAGGCGGCGGAGGCGGCGGGGGTGGCGGTGGAGCTGGTCGCGGGTCTACGCAGAGGAGTGGCTCCGGTGGTGGTCCGCGCCAGCAGCAGTAGCGCGGTCGTGAGACCCTGTCCCCTCAGCAGCTCCGTGAGTGGTACACGCAGCGTCAGCGCGGTGGGGGTTTTGGTCCCTGCACCTACGTTCTCCGCACTGGCGACCGCACTGGAGAGCAGTGTGGGGGTGCCCACCCCGCCCAGCGCTGCTTTGGCCGCCTGACGGACGCTTGGCGTCAGCAGTTCCCGGAGGCTGCGGAGATCCTCCGCTGGGGAGAGCTGTCTAGGGCTGGTGTAGCTATCTTTGATCTTGATTTTGATGCTATCCTTGCTGCCATGTATGCTGTGACCATTAGTGATGAGGGTGACTGTTACCGGTGTTTCCCGCCCGATCAAGGCATTGAGACTGCTGCTCTAGGTACTGGTGAGGCGGCTGCCCTAGGTGCTTGCGACGCTGCTGCTCTAGGTGCTAGTGCGTCTGCGTCCTCAGATACTGGTGAGTCTGCGCTCTCAGGTACTATGTCGGCTTCGGCCTCCCTCACCTTCACCCTTGACTCTGGGGCTTCTCGCTCCTTCTTTCGGGACCGCACCACACTCACGCCACTTAGTCGGCCGTTTGCATTGTCTCTCGCTGACCCCTCTGGGGGTCCTGTCCTGTCTCACTTCTCCACAGTCCTCCCGTGTCCGGCGGCTCCCTCTGGCACCCTGTCTGGTCTCTACATCCCCTCGTTCTCTACGAACCTGGTGAGTGGTGCTGACCTACAA